GGACAAAAACCTTGTGGACGTCATCCGCACCCAGGTAACTTCCCCACCAGGCAAAGCCAATGCCAGGGTTAATGCAGTACTCCTGGATTCTATCCCAGCTTTGGGCGGAGAGTAGGGTCTCATGGGTTAGAGTGACGTGGCTAGGAGCCAGGATTGTGGGTCTGGTGGTTATGGGGGAGCCAGGACACTAGCCGAGCTGCCTGATACCCCATTACCACCCCCCTCGCTCCCCCACAGGACGTGGTCACCAGCATTTACTTTGGCCGCTATGGGCATGAGGAAAACACCCTGATCATGACGACTAAAGGTAGGCAAGGGGCGTGCCGGGTGGGCACCATTCAGTTCCGTGTGCTGCTGTGCAATACTGAATGCACCCTGCAGGGGATGCTGCCAGCTGTGTGCAGGACACCCTGCCCAGCCCCATCTGTAAGGACACCCTGACCCTAGCTTAGAAATTCTACCCTCAGGCATCTGGGCATCAGCTGGGTTCCAGCTGGTGGGTCAGGAAGGAATTCAACTCCCGTGGGACAGTGCAGTGCAGCAAGGGGCATTAAGGAGACAGTACACTATGGGGGATGGGCCCACGGGTCTGATCCAGGGAGAGGGGATTCAGGACCTTTGTGCCCATTTGTACTCTATCCTGGTGGTCCCACCCCACAGGCGGGGGGTTGATCATCAAGATCCTGAAGCGCACGGCCGTGTTTGAGGAGAAGGACACGTCGCTGGGCCCTCCTGTGGCCCAGAGCATCCGACTCAGCGTGCCCAAGAAGACCAGGCTGTACGTGGACCAGACGCTGCGGGAGCGCGAGAATGCCGTGGGTGAGTAGGGCAGGAATGGTGGGTTGAGGAGGGGGACTGCTTGTAGGCAGGTTGAGGATGGAGCAGCTGGGGGTGTAAGGGAATGAGGAGGGGGGGTGGAGATTGGGGGGGGGAGGCGAGGTGGGGCATCTCCCACCATTTCCCATGCCCCCCCGGCCATGAGTCTCCTCCCATGCGCCCAGCCATAGAGCCACCAGTCCCACTCTGAGCATCAACCATGGGAAAGAGAGAAGCCACTGGACTGGGATTTACTTACCAACTCAGCATGTCCATGCAAATGCACTGGCCAGCCACTGGGGGTGCTGTGCTGCAGGGAGCAGGATGGGGACTCAGTGCTGACCCTGGTGCCAGCAGTGCGACACTAAAGGGCCCTGTGCTGCAGATAAGGCATAAAGCCAAGATCCGTTGTGATTGGTAGAGATCCCCCTTGTTGATTGGCTGCTGGCCCCAGGCTGACTGTCTGTCCTCGCTGTCCCTTCACCCCTCACCAGCCATGCACCGAGTGTTCCAGATGGACCTGTACCGGCTGCGGCTCATGGCAGCCCGGGCCTATGTCAAGGCGCTGGAGTCCAGCCTGGCACCCGTCACATCCACACTGCAGGAGCCCCTTAAGATGAATGCCGTGGTGAGTGGGTCATG